GAGTTCAAGATAACAAGGTTTGACTGTATGTAACGTAGATTGTGTTACAAAAATAAAGGAAAATTTAAACAGATACAAATGTGGTGATAAAAGTATATATCTGTGAGTGATACAAAGTGCCTTTTTAAGAATATCATCCTGATTTTTTTTCACTTAGGTATCAGTGGAGTGTGGGGTATACCGAGAAATCCTCCCCAGAAGGAATATTTAATCAGGCAACAGAGAGAATATGGCATGATGCTGGACGAAATATGAAACAAATCTTTCAAACTAAAAATGGTACATATTCCTAAATTACAAAAAAAAAATCCTCTCTCTACAGTGATTGAAGTGACTTTGGACATTAAACAATTAATTTTTTTACAGGTATTTTCCTTAAGGAAACGGTCAAGTACTCATTCTTCCTAAAAGTGTGGTACGATGAAAACACTTATGCCGTGTTTAAATCTGACGGAGTTACCATTGCTACACGTAAACCTGCAGTGACAAATATAAGGGGCAGTGCAGTAAGTCTTACAACAATTTCACTGTTCATGGAACAATTAAGTTTCCCAATTTAAACTGCCCTTGTCAGGTATTGTCTGCATTGGTAATCAATTATGAATTATGAATTCATGAAATAAGATGGTAGAAATGTGAAAAAAATGTAGAAATATCTTTGTCAGATCCCTGTTGGAAAAAAAACTTGCATGGGGATAATCATAGAAACTTCATTCCTTGAAAAGTTGATGAATGGCTATGCATAATCTTTAATATTTTTAAAGGTTTGGGAAAAAATGTAATCTGCATAATTTACTTTTGCAGGTGAGAGAGAAAATGTTGGGAAGCAATTTTGTAGATCAAGATTTCATGAAGGGAGGGTTTCCTTTCACAGTTGAGTGGAATAATAAATTCCTGGATGCTGAGAATGCTATCAAGACATTCCATTTGTATATCAGTACATATCCAGGAGGTATGTATTTGAAATTCATTCCACTCTGCACATTTTCTTTCATAAGAAAAAAGGTGAAACTGAACAAGTTAACAAGGATTTAAAAATGGGTTTAAACCACTTGTTATGTACAAAAAAAAAAGAAAACTTTCAAGTGAAATTCTTGGTTAGTATTCAAGTACAGGACAGAACCCCTGATATGTTTTTTTTCTCTCTCTCTTTTATTAAAACATGGTACATAAATAATTCAGTGTACAGAAAATCATAATACATACATTGCATAGAAATTTATAAATCAAAATCACAAATAATTGCTTACTTCTAGATACAGATTATCATTAATTACATGTGCTTTCCTTACAATCACGTTTTGTAAACAAAGACAATTTTTTTTATCTTATTTCGAAAAACTTCTATATACATGTTTTCTTTTTGAAATCTACATTTCATTTTATATTTATAAATGGTAAAACAAATGAATGACAATAGATTATTCAATCTAATTGTTTTTAAATTGATTTCCAAAAACAAACTAATTTTTTTCCAAATATTTTCACAAAGTTTACACCTGTGCAGGAGTTGTTCAGTGTCTTCAACAACCATACAATATTCACAAAAAGGTTCTACATCTTTGTTCCATTTACTTACATTTAAATTATTGTTCAATATGCAATTCAATAATTTATAATTGAATTCAGCAACATTTTTTCATACATATACTTAATTTTAGCTAGATATACATTTTTCCAGACATATTTGTAACTAAGATCAAAAGTCTTTTGCCACATATTTTCATAAACTGATCGTTGAAACTTTATGTTTACCAATTGAAAATTGAATAATAAAAATCACATTTAAGGTTTGCTACAGTTCTTACACTATTATCTCTAAATAAAAATGACACTTCGTTTTTAATATTAATCAATTTTGCATATGTACAATCAAAATTGTTTTTGTATTCTCTGAGTGCCTTCTTTATCATGATATATTCACAGAGTATATTGTTTTTCTTTTCCAGTATATTATAAAAGTGTTCAATACTAAGGAAGTTTCCATCATTATCAAAAAGATCTTTGATATATAGAATATCACTTTTTATCCAGTTTTCAAAACAAAGAGGTTTAGAATCATACTGAAACAGATTATTGTTCCAAATGAATTCCGATAAAAATTGGTCTCTCTTTAAAGCACAAATTTGTTTAACTTTTTTACATTTATTGAAAGCAGAAAGGACTTCACCATAAAAAAGTGGTATTCTTAGCATCTTAAAAAAAGCAGTATTTTCAAAGTTACATACACTTGTTTTAACAATATCATTAACTGATAGGTTTCTAAGATTAAGAATATTATTCAACATTTTATATATTATACTTCTTTTATCTAGTATTCGTTTTATCCAAGAAGCCTTCGCTGCAGTAAATTTACTCTCTATATCAACAATACCTATTCCACCTTGGTTAACTTTACCAATTAGCGTATTTCTCTTTATCCTATCTTTTTTCTTCCATAAGAAATTAAATACAAGTTTTGATACATTTTTAAAGAATTCATTTTTTGGATTTGACAAAATAAAAGCATTATATACCAATTTAGATAATGCTAGTGTATTTATTATAGTGCATTTTCGGAAGATCGTTAAGTTTCACCTTCTCCAAACACTCAGTATTCTTTCAAGTTTCTCTAATTTATTTGTCCAATTCATATCATAACAGATATCCTTATCATGACCGAGATATACACCTAATGATTTTACATGACTTTTAGCAATTCTAACACCACAAATATATTTTTCATTTAAATACATTTCAATAAATTTTCCTGTCAATAAACATTCTGTTTTGTCCATATTCAATTTCGTGCCTGCGACTTTGCTAAATTCACGTATTGTTTCTAAAGCTTTTTTCAATGAATAAGTGTCTTTCAATAAATTAGTGCAATCATCGGCATGCTGTACGATTTTTAAATTTCCATTATCACCTGGCAATAAACCGATGATTTCTTCATTATTTTTAAGCTGAACTGCTAGTATTTCTAGCACGAAAATAAATAAAAGTGCTGACACAGGACAGCCTTGTCTAATCCCTCTTTGCATTTCACATGATTTTGACATCCAGCCATTATTTTTAACTTTAAAAGTTGGTTTAGAATATAATGTTTTTATCATTTTGATAAAATTTTCACCAAAATTAAATTTTTCTAGAGTTTTGTACATGAAGTTATATTCAAAAGAATCGAAAGCTTTTTCAAAATCGAGAAAGAGCAAAATACCATCAATATCATTATTGTTACAATATTCAAATATGTCTAATATTATTCTCGCGTTCTCCCCAATGTATCTACCTTTGATATAAGCACTTTGTTCACTACTAATTATTCTACTAGCAACTTTTTGCAAACGATTAGCTAGAACATGAGCAAAAATTTTGTAATCAACGTTTGTAAGACTAATTGGTCTATAAGTTCTTAAGATTTTCTTTCTCTCCTTTTTTATATATCAGGGATATCACAGCATTTCTTTGCGAAAAAGGCAAAATACCATCATCAATACTTTTAAGTAAAGAGGAAAAGAATGTTTTCTTTATATCATGCCAAAAAACCTTATAGAATTCTGCTGTTAAGCCATCTTGACCAGGGGATTTGTTATTTTTCATTTTAAGAACAGCTTCTTCACATTCTAATTTTGTAGGCAACATGTCACATAACTCTTTCTCGGCCTTTGTAACCTTTTCGCAGTTAACATTTTTTAAATAGTTTTCTATTTCATTATCAGAAATCTTCTTACTACAATGTAGTATATAATGAACTATAAAAAGTAAACAAACATTTCATAATATTATCATTGTCACTGATAACAGACTCATTATCATCCTTGATTTTGGTTATTGCATTATTTATTTGCTGCTTTTCTTCAAGACCTAAAAAATAAGAGTTACTTTTCTCACCCTTTTCTATCCACAAAGCTCTAGATCGTACATAAGCTCCATTACACTTCTGAGCATAATAATTATCTCTTTCTTCTTCAAGTTGTCATTTGTACCTCATATTTATTTCAGTATAATGTTTTAAATCTAGTAGTTTTAATTGAGTTTCTATAAATTTGATATGCTTTTTTTGATTATTAGCTTTATTTTTTGAAAAAGACATACTGAAGTCTTTAATGGATATTTTCATTCGTTCCCATCTTACTTTTGGATCATTTAACTGTTTTAATTCTTCTTTTTCGTCACTTATATGTTTTCTTAATTTTTCACAAAATTTTTCTTCAGTTAATAATGAGTTATTTAACTTCCAGTAACCACTACCTCGTAAATTTTCAGAAGTACTGAGATCAAAACCTAAGCCCAAATGATCGCTCATACGTATCCCTTCAACACTAGGTGCTCTACGCACAGTAATATTACAAAGCGGGAAAAACATATTATCATTAATAAAAACATAATCTATTCTGCTTTTGGGAATGTCCTCTCCATCACACCACGTTAAACCATTTATACTTGTTTTTCTGCTGGAAATCCAGCAGTCATTTAGATCAAAATATTTCAAAAATTTTCTTAAATTCTTAACACTTTTATCATTTTTACAGTCTAATTGACAATTAAAGTCACCACAAACAACGAGCCCTTCTATATTCATAGCATATTGACTTACCCAAGATAATAATCTTTTAAAAAATGCAATTCTAGAGTGTTCAGCGTTAGGTGCATAAACATTCACAATTGTAGTAATTTTTTCATTATATTTCAAGTTAACCAATAATCTTCTTCCATCAAGAGACTGATGATAATTTAATATTTCAACGGAAAGGTTTTGCTTGAAAAATAGTGAAACGCCCCTACTATATACGGAGTCAGAAAAGCAATGAAGTTTGTTCCAAACCATCGGGAATTGTATATAAATTCATGTTCTTTAACAAAATGTGTTTCTTGTAAAAGGACTATATCAAAATTGGAATCTTTCAACCACTCAAAAAGCATTACTCTCTTTTTATAAGTATTTAGGCCTCTCACATTTAAGGAGAGGAATGATAAAGAGTTTTTATTCATTTGGTCGGGGAGATTGTTAACTCACATCATTTTGTAGCAGATTCTTTTTCATTTTTCTTTTTATTTTTTTTCATATCTCGGATAAATGTATCAAGTTTCTTTTGACTGTCCTCGGTTTGAGAGCCTTTCCTAGGCACGGAGGCGCTCCTGAGTTTTCTAGTATATTTGGCAGCAATTTTTTGGACGATGACTCCAAGTTTGTTTTCACCTGGCCATTTTGATGGTTCTGTTTGAGTTGTGCCGATGGTATCCAAGCCTGTACCCCAGTACACGTCAACAGTGGACTCGGCAAAAATCGTATTAGCATTAGAGGCTTCAAGTTTTTCTCGCATTAAAGTTACTTGTTCAGCTTTTGCAGACACGATTTCTTCCATTATTTCCAGTTTTTGCTCGCTCCAACCCTCCGGGTCCTTTATGGAATTTCCTATCTTTTTAGCATCGAGTGCTGTGGGAGCGTTTCTTACCTTCTCAGCTGCAACTAAATTACCTGCACGTAGCGCTTTCATCAACTGATAAGCATGCTCAGCTGACTGGTGGTGCTCGCCAAAGACTTTAATGTCGCAAGGGAAAAAGTTTGAAATGGGATTTTCTTTTCCTTGGAATGCAACAACATTTTCAGTCTCTTTGTAATGTTGGCAGTCCGGAGATCCTGGTTCATGACCAGGTTCGCGACATACTCTGCAGGCCTTTTCACTGTTGCATTGCTGAGCTCTGTGCCCAAATTCCTAACAATTATAGCACTGAAGCTTTGGGGAGTTGGTAACTTGACCATAATGGAAGAGACGGCATTTTAGACCAGCACATGTAACGTTCCTCGGGAGAGATTTGTTAATCAGTGGTGCGATGTATAGAAATCTATTGCCGTTGAGTACACTGGTCATTCGATGGGTAACAGGATTTCTGATGTTCTCGTATTTGAGATCGCTTTTGATAGTAACGTCAAAGTTATTCAGCATCTCAAAAACCGCACTGTCGTCTACAGGTAGGGGTAGACCATTGATAGTGACCTTGAGTACTTGGTCTTTGGGATTTTTTGCGCCTGTTGAATATGGGTTAGAGTCATAAACTTGAACGGAAATGTTTCTAACCTCAAACCCCTCAACTAGAAGTTTCGAACGGCTCTCCATACACTTGAGATAAACTCTCTTTCCAATTGAATGCAATATATCTTGTCCCCAATTTTTTCACGAATAGCTTCATACAGTTCATAATCTATAATCCTTTCACTCTGTTCTGATTGTAGTTCCTTGTTCTTAATATAAAGAGGTTTAAACATTGGTTTTTCCTGTTCACTCATAGTGTAAATATAGCTACAGAGTACTACTCACCGATAGGCGTAATCCGACGAATATCCAAAAATAAACACAAAGAGTATTTCAAACACACCGCAAGTCTCATATATACATACGTAGATAAGGTGTGATTAAAAAGGTTCAAAAACACCAAATCCAAATTACAGTAGATAGATATAATCCACTATAATATTGTCAGAAGAACGGAGCAAGTTGTAAACACGTCCATTCACCTTGCTTGCAGGTGACTTCAAACCCCTGATATGTTGATGTCCTTCCTTTGGTCCCCACAATATTTACTATATTAATGATTTACAAGATGTTAGAAATGTAAAACTTGGTAATCTCAATCCCCACCTCCCTTCCCTGCCCCATCTTGATGTATAATCACAGTCCCAAGAGCATTATATACATATTTATACCATATTTGTCTACATAAGGTTAATTCTCTGCTCTTCTTAAGATTTGTCACTTAATACACACAAAGATGACATTATGTACATCATTATTGTCAGAAATTAAAACCTTTCAACCTGCAAGTTTTACTGCACATCATTCAACTCAATAATTATGTAAACAATTTAACATTTTCTTTTTATTCTCGTTGTACAATTTGTATTTAACAACAAGAACCCTTGCTAGAAATACATGCTGGACTTTGTAGTTTAAAAAAATGTACATGATTACTGAATTCATCCACTCAATAATCTAATATTGTTTTGAAATCGAATTAACTCTGATGAATTGACACTTAGGATATCTTGACATACATGTAGTGGTATGACAGTAGTCCTGCCAATGTCGAGATATCAAAGTTTATTTACTTGTCTATATGCTAGTTACACAGCATGTTTTGGTATTGTTTTTATCAGGACATGACATTTTGGATACCAGTGAGGATTTACAAGGTACACAAACATCGTATAATGTGATGAGGTCATCTGTTCTCCTGCCAGGAATTACCTATTACAGTAATGTCCAGGCGTACGGATACTCGGACATCCATCACACAGAGTCTTCTGATGGATTCAAACCAGACAAGACAAAACCTATCACAGGGATTGTGTTTGATGGAATAGGTAACAAATTCTTGTACAAGATCATATATAATTTTAATTATCTGCAGCATATCTGTTACTCAAACAGACATCCTTTGAATGGATTCCAGTGTATTTAGGATAGATTTAATGATTTCAGAATAAAGCAGAGCAGTGTGTATGATTGTAAAAGACTAAAGCCTTGATTTTTGAGACTGTCCCTGAGTCCCTGTTTTGCTCATCATCCAAGGATGATTGAATTAACTTTTTTTTTCTTTCACCTTGAACAAATCTTGTTCACATATAATTTATGTTGTTCCAAGGGATGAAGCTCACATTTAAGATTTTTTTTTAAAGTGTAAAATAATTTGATTTTAGGTTTACATGACCTGGAGTTCCAGAATAAGTCAGATTTAGTAGCAGCTCACTGGCATGGATTCTCAGACATTGGGTCAGGTGTACAGCTTTATTACTGGTGTGTTGGTTCCACCCCTGATGTTGTCAATAAACATAAAGATGTGGAGTGTGGATACCAAAGCTGGGAGGCTGTAGGATTACATACCTCTGTGTCTAGGACTTTAGGAATACCACTCAATCACAGTAAGTAAGGATCATGAAAGGAAATGATCAATACTAATCATATTATGGAGTAAAGATTATTGAAGCAGTGTCTGACATGTTTTGTTTTAGCGAGACTGGCTTACTTAACTATAGTGTATGGATAAATTAATAGTTAATATTCAAGTCTTTGTATCACATGTAGATTGTTAAACTACTGCATTTAGAATGCCTTAAACTTCTGCTTCATAATTGATATGGATGAATGAATTCACCTTTGGTTTATTTCTTTTTAATTTGAAGCAGTTTATGATTTGGAAATTGTCATGATTAATTCTATTTGATTATCAAATTCATATGATTGATTGCCATTGATTTCCTCTGCACTTGTGTGCATGGTTTGTTTTTATTATGCTTCCAAACTTCTGAAAATCAAGTTCTGCTGTAGAACTCCTTGGCCAATTTCAATCACACTTGCCAGAAAGAATACTTAAGTAAGAATGTAAGCATTCTCATAAAGTGTAGATCAAAATTAGTCTAAATATAGGACAAGAAATATACCACAAATGGATTATGTAGGTGTTTGGGGGCTACAAGAAACTAAATTAAATCAGAAAAAATGTATTACTTTTTGACAAGTAGATAGATTCTTATATAAGTATTCTGATGTAATAGATAGATTCAAATCTTCTTCAGATACATGTGTATTATAAAGTCTACTGGAAAAAACAGATGTATACGAACTATATTTCTAATAGAGAGATTGAGATTGTGACTTAGGTAACTTTTCAGGCATATGGACCTCTTGTTCACTGAAAATGTCTTTCATTTCAGGCAAGACTTACTACAATAAAGTATACGCAGTAGATAATGTGGGATATAAATCTTCTGTGGTGGTCTCTGATGGTGTCACTATAGATCTCACCCCTCCAGAGCCTCAGTATCTCTTCCACACTGGCAGCAACATTCTAACTAATCCATCCTTTGAAATGTCACCTAATGTGTTACAGTCAGAGGACGTTAATACAACTGACATTTGCAATGTCACTGTGGACTACCAGCCCAGCAGCTGGAATTTGTCATCCCCAGGATGTGCAGCAGTGGTGTCCTCCAACAAGAATCTGGCCAGAGATGGCAGATCTTTTCTCTTTGTCAGAGGGAGTGTGACCCAAAGACTAAATGAGTTGGTCGTAGGTGGACTATATAGGGTAAATTTTTACTCCAGTCATCTGTCTATTAGCAGCTCTACCCAGTCAAACAAAGAGGGATATATACAAATGGGAGACAAGAGACATGTATTCCTCATCTACACCAAGCCCTACAGAGGAGATGGCAATGAGAAACTCTCAGCTAGGGAGGAAGTTTCCTGGCACAAGCACACCTTTTATTTTATAGCAATGGGAAAATCTGCTGATCTTCAAGTGGGCAGCGTGGATGAGAAGACTGGAATTTTTGTGGATCACATGACAGTAGAGCATGTGGAAAGGGACTCAAAGAACGGAACAAGTGGCTTACATGTACAGGCCCATGTAGTTTATCTACATGAGTGGGGCTCTGTCCATGGATCCTGGAGTTTTGTGGAGGATGTCAGCTCCATAACAGAATATCAGTGGGCTATAGGTAAATAGTTTTTGTTAGCTCACCTGAGCTGAAGGCTCAAGTGAGCTTTTCTGATCGAAATTTGTCCATTGTCTGTCATCGTTGTTGGCGTTGGCATCGTTGTCGTCATAAACTTTTCACATTTTCATCTTCTTCTCAAGAAACAGTGGGCCAATTTCAACCAAACTTGTCACAAAGTATCCTTGGGTAAAGGGGATTCAAGTTTGTTCAAATGAAGGGCCACTCCCATTTCCAAGGGGAGATAATTATGAATTCGTGAAAAATTAATGGCATCATTTAAAAATCTTCTTCTCAAGAACCACTGTGCTTGAAAACATGAAACTTATATGGAAGCATCCTCAGGTAGTGTAGATTCAAGTTTGTTCAAATCATGACCCCCAGGGGTAGGGTGCAGCCACAATGGGCAGTCAAAGTTTTACATAGGAGTATATTGGGAAAATCTTTAAAAATCTTCTCAAGAATAGCAAAGCCATGATAGATCATATTTATATGGAAGCATCCTGAGGAAGTGTAGATTCAACTTTGTTCAAATCATGACCCCCAGGGGTAGGGTGGGGCCACAATGGGCGATCAAGGTTTTACATAGGAATACATAGGAAAAATCTTTAAAAATATTCTTCTCAAGAACAGCAAAGCCATGATTGGTCATATTTATAGGGAAGCATCCTTAGGTGATGTAGATTCAAATTTGTTCAAAATAAGACTCCCAGGAGAATACAGGGGCATATTTGTCATATCAATTCATAAGCCATTTCCTAGCCAGAGCGCTCAGGTGAGCGATGTGGCCCCTGGGCCTATTGTTGTGTTTTAATGTCCATTTACAATTTAATACCTTTTTTGTTCATGACAAGTTGTATTTTTATAAAAATTTTCACATACTCCAAAAGTGCAAGGAAGTTCTGTTTTTGAATTCCTTTTAAGATTTAAATTTTATATTCTAGGCTACACAAGAGGAGGGACACAGTTACAGAACTTCCAGAGTGTGGGACTGTCTAACTTTGCTTTTAACTCCCAAGTGACTCTGACTCATGATTCCTATATTTACATCACTGCCATAGCCCAGAATTCAGCTGGTTTACAGGATGTTTCTTATTCAGATAAAATTCTGGTAGACCTTACCCCTCCCAGAATAGAAGAAGTCCTAGATGGTGATTTGTTAGGTATATAGTTTTAACACTGATGAAAAGCAGTTATCTTTTCAAATTATGGAACATTTTGTATTTTGAGTGAGATATAAAAGTGGTATTAAGCTGTACATTTACCTGAACATGCCAAAAATAATAATGAACTGTATTGTTTCTTTGTTATACATAACCATGGTTGTTAAGCTGAATAGATTTTAGTTTTGCAGTTTTTTTTTGTGCAAGGATGTCCTGTTACCCAAGCAATTGGCATTATTAGAATGATTAGAGAAGTTTACACTAGTCTTGATTCCCTATGTTGCAGGAGAAGATCTTGATGCTTGGAAGGAGAACACTGTGTATGTCAACTGGAAAGTGACAGATGATGAATCTGGTCTGGAATACTGTGAATGGGCTATAGGTAATGATTAGTTACAGGGAAAGGAAAGAAAGGAAACCCAAATGTGGGCAACAATTTTCACTAAGAAAGGAGTTATACATGTATATTGAGATTATGTAGGTTTGGATATAGATATTTTAGTTATTGAAATGTTCAGATAAACAAAAGCAGATCTGAAACAGAAATAAGCAAAAGATTTTGAACATGAAAAGAGTTTAATTTAAAATACTGCTTGTTGTTTCTCTCATAGGTTATCAACCAAAAGGCAT